AGCGCATCGAGGAGGGCGACACACTAGAGCTGCGCGCCGAGTTTGAGCGAGTGCAGAAGCAGATACGCGAGAGCAAGGAGGAGTTGAACACTTTCAGCGAGGAGCTGGACATGATGCTGCTGTGCTACAAGGAGACCCAGCTGTCCCAGCTCAGCAAAATCTCCAACGTGCGCTCGGACAAGTCAGTGACCATGGTGCGAGCCAACGAAATCTGCTTTAAGCGTGCCCAGTGGAGACTTACCGAGACGGATGGTCAGATTGGCATTGCAGATTTGGTGCTGAGTGCTTTCCTTTATACGAAAAAGTCCAAGAGCGATGATTCCGTCGAGCATCTGCTGGAGCTGGGAAATATCCGAATGGAGAATCTGCTGCCGCGTGAAATATATCGTGATGTTCTGCTGGCCACGGAGATACAGAAAGACATGCCCGTGGATACGCACAAGCGTGTGCTACGCATCTTTTGCCGCGAGAAGCCGCCGGTTGGCGGCATTTCCGTTAAGGACCACTTTGAGATCAATGTGGCGCCCATTACCATAGCGATCACCAAGAAGTTTTATAGCACCATGTTGAAGTTCTGCTTCCCGGATCGCGATGCTTCCGAAACGGAGGTCAGCGATGAGCTGGATGACAATGCGTCCACCAGCTCAGCATCTACAACGAATTTACAATCCAAGTCTGCATTATCGTCGAAACGTGTTGCCAAGAGCAAGAAGAGTGCCAAGGACTCTGAGTTCTATGTGAAAATCGAAAAGGACGATGTCGAAAAGATGAAGGAGCGCGCAGAGAAAAACAAACTCTTCATATATATCAAGATACCCGAGGTGCCGGTGCGTGTCAGCTACAAGGGCAACAAGGAAAAGAATCTGGAGGACATTACCGACTATTCGCTAGTGATACCCACGCTGGAGTATCACAATGTCACCTGGACCTGGCTGGATCTCTTGCTGGCCATGAAGTCCGTGAGCCGGCGCGTCATTCTCTCGCAAGCAATCAAGCAGAAGTTGCAAATCCATCGACGCCAGCCGGTGCTGTCGGCAGGTGAGCGTGCCACGCCCCAAGAAGAGGATAAGGCCAAAATGCTATTTGGCAATCGTTTGCTGGTAACTTGACATTAGCTGAAAACTAAAAGTAGTTAACTTATATTAATCAATGTTTATTTTGCAGAGCGAGAATCGAAACCAAAGAAAGAGCGGCGGCGTTTTCAAATTTCAATCAAGCGGCAAGAGGACAGATTAATGCCTTTATTCAAATCATATTTATATATACATGATATATATTTAAATATGTATGTATATGCATATCGTATTAAGTTTGGGAGACCCGTTGCAGGCCCGGCCAGGCCAGGCTAGGTCAGGGCACTTGTAATCAAAATATCGCGAGTCCCTTCAATTTATGTTTACAAACATACACACACATACACTACAAATACAATCACAAGACACACATGCACACACCCGCAGCAGAAGTATTACGCTATATAAATCTATAAATATAATTAATGCATGTGTGTTGTCTGTCTGCTTGTTTAACTATTATAATTAATTTTGTTGTATACTTCTTTTGTTTAACTTTAGCAAATAAACAGAGGGAAAATCTAGAGTTAATTGAATTTTTAGTTTCGCTTTTTACATACCACAATGATATAGAAATAGAGGACTTTAAAACACTTAAATTAGCTAAATATGCACAGGATAACATTTACTTGGTCAACTGCTTCAGCGGCGGCTGAAATGAAATTCAAGTTCGGGTTAAGGCCAAGATTTTCGAATAACTACATATTTATATATAGGGTTTACTCACCAGCACAAAGACGCGCTTGGGTAGAGCTCGCTGCACCAGCTCGTAGAGCAGCAAATTTTGGCTGTCATGCTTTTGGGGATCAGCCTTGGTGTTGTACTCCAGCGTGAGGACGGGCAGCTCCTGCCAGGCCACCTGCAGCGGATACAGATTGTAGACCAGCTCCTTCTCATCATACGCCATTATCGAGACATCCAGCTGTGGTAGAAATCACATTGAATACCCTCACTGAAATGTGAAGTGGACTGTGTTGGTAACCCACCTGCTTGTGGCCGGAGCATATAAAGTTATCAGATTTGCTAATGGATAACGTGGCTATCAGATGCAGGACGTGCATTGTTGGGTTCTTGAGCACCACCTTGAAAGCCATCGGCATTTTGACAAACATCTTCTCTTCGATGGTGCAGTAAATGTTCAACGGCGGCTCCGCTATATCAAGGCCACTTATTACAAATTTAGATTCGTTTTCCTCCTTGCCGCCTGCTCGACGCCAGCGTATGCAGAAGACGCCAAAGCGAGGTATCGTCGGTGCTCCTGCTCCCGTATCCAAGGTATAGACGCCTTTGATGAAGCCGCGACAATGGCCCGTAGCCTGCACCGCTTCCATTGCCTTGTTGTACACGACGCGCATGCTCTTCTGCGTCTCCTGCCCACTGGCAGGCAGCGTAGAGCCTTCGTCCGTGCCCGCAACAGTTAGCTTGCCATCATCGGAATGCAGGGAGTTGCTCATGGCGCCCACTGTGGATAGCTGCAGAGCATTGGTGTTATTATTGATGATGGTCATCGATGTGGGTATCTTGCCCAGGAGACTCTTGCTCATAAAATTACTCTGGGCAACATTTGGCGCCTGGAGTGGCGCATCGCCAGCTTGGCCCGCTGCAAGCTGTGTCTTCTGCTGGCGACTCACAAACTTGTTGTTCACACTATCGTCGAGCTTGGAGCGCTCCAAATCCCGCGCAGTCGTCCAATCCTGTAGCGTGGCATTCGTGCGCAGCACGATGACGCTCTCCAGCTGATCCCCAGCTCTGTATTTGTTGGTATACTTCTTCCGCTTAAAACTGTAGTTCGATTGCACTAAATTGTGATCCTGCAGAGAAAAGTTAACATGCTGCAGCACTCTTTAAGGCTCGCTCACTTACACATATAAAGAAGCTGTCCAATATCTCCACCTCGTCTACGGCCACCACCTCCGTATTGGCGCGCAGCAGAAAGTTCTCCCCCCGATAGACCTGAGTCAATGGACGGCGATTGAGTGAGTAGAACCGGGCATTAAACTTAAAGTCGCCGGCACAGCGCACGGTCAGGATATCCTCCCGGGACTTGCGCAGCCTCGTCTCGTCCAGATACTCGATTTGCACGGGCGATATGACCGCCAGGCTGTTGGTGACCAGCTGGTTCACATGCTCGGGCGTTGTATCCGTGCTGGTGGGCGTGGTGCTGTGACCAGCTCCGCCGCCACTTGCACTGCGATCCACATCCAGCGTATAGCTGAGTCTCTGCTGCAGCTTGATCTCTGCCTCCACCAGGCTGAAAATGTAGTAAGTGGCGGTGTTGCTGCCATGGGCAGACAGTTCGCCTACATCAACCTGGATCTGGGCGTGCAGCTTTTGCCGATTCGATGAAATATCCGTGGTAAGGAAGACTGTAAGAAAAGAGGATTAAAATTTTAAGAAATATATCAAATATATAAATAAAATACATATTAATATTTAATAAAGAGTAAGAAGTTTAACAAATAATAAAATTTAAAAAATTATGCAAAATATATAAAAAATAATAATAGACCACAAGAAACTTTAAAAACTTCCGAGAATCCTCTGGTCTGTGACATGTGAGTACAGAAAAAGTATATACTCTTTCAGCAATTTTTCAATGGGTACACAAGACTCAGTAGACGATAGCGTAGCTGGCCAAGTTCAATGGTGTTGTATGTAAACAGTGGGCACAGGTGTTTTACCTACAGCTGTAATGTGAACACGATGTTGGGTAAGGTAAGTAACGCTGCCTCTCGACCTTTTCATATGGTTTTCCCAAACAAACCAACTCTATATAAAGGGCGGATAAGTACGTCGCGTGCGACAGTTGAATCATAGCCTTCGTTACAAGCTGAAGATGAATATTGTATTGGTGCTGCTTCTAGTGGAGAGCTGCTGGGCTCTAAGCCCGACGGAAGTTGAGCACAGGCGTGTACCTCGCGTGGTAGGCGGACAACGCATCGAGGTGAATTCGCAGCCGCATATGGTGAATATCAGACGTCGTGGTAGCTTTCACTGCGGTGGATCTTTAGTGACTCCGCGTTGCGTCTTGACCGCCGCCCACTGCCTGCAAGTGGAGCAGCACAGGCCAGCGGATTATGTGGTGCGGGGTGGCGTGACCTATTTGACAGATATGCGCAATGGGCGCGCCGTGAATCGCATTCTGATGCCCAGTGGCTATAATATTTCCACTTTTGACCAGGATGTGGCGCTGCTGCAACTGCAGAATCCGCTTCAAGGTGAACACATTGAGCCCATCCAGCTGGCCAGGCAGCCGCCGCGCCCCGGCAGCTACGTGCGTGTCTCGGGCTGGGGACTGACCGATGAGCGTTCACTCCAGCTGCCCAATCAGCTGCACAGTGTCCAGGTGAAGGTGCTTCCCCGTCTCAAGTGCCAGCAGCTCTATCAGGGCTACAGGAATATAACGGAGAGCATGTACTGCGCCTCGGGGTCTAGCCATAAGGACGCCTGCAATGCGGACTCCGGCGGACCGGCGGTCGACATGAATGGCCAACTGGCGGGCATCGTGTCCTGGGGCAAGGCCAATCGCTGTGCCCACGAGGACAGTCCAGGTGTGTACACGAGCGTGGCGCACCTGTACGACTGGATAGTCCACAATATGCTCAGATATTGCCACTGATCTCTGTTCGAGCCTTAGGATTACGCCATTGAGTATTAGAACCATAAATAAACAAAAAGCTTTACAGCAAACAGCCCTGATTGTTTTACTTTTATAATTTGTTGTTTTCAATATATTGCGTTAGTTTTGCGGATCGCGTCATTTCGCGCACAAGACACAAGGCCCAGCTGGCTCAATCAACCCATTGCAAAGCCAAACTCTCTTTTCTTATCCAACTATTTGCACAGTTGTACGGCCCGTTTGGCGTGTGCTGCTGGCCCGGGCATAAAAGACGGGCCAAGGTAAATTCGCGTACATTTCACGCCGAAATGCGGGTGCGCTGGTTATACTTGGTCTTTATTCTGCTGCTGCTGGATCAACTAGCGGCGGCACAACGTCGTAGCCGCGACAGAAAAACACGCAATACAAGACTTGCCCGTGCCAGGAATCAAATCGAGCCTCGAATCGCCAGTGATACGGGCACTGCATCCATTGGGCGTAACCGTATTCAGCCGCGCGTCATCAACAACAGCAATGACAGTGACAATGGCAATTGGAGTCCACTCAACAATCGCCGAAGGAGAAGGAGAACGAACCGCTGGAGAAGATTGAACAATCGCAATAGAAATAGAAGGAACCGTGCAAACAGAAGGAATCGGAATAGAGCCTCTGCTCGCATTGTTGGAGGTCGCAGGGCGCGCATTTTAGGTGGCCCCAGTGCATCCATAGCCACGATGCCATATCTGGTGCAGGTACATCGTGGCGACAGCTTGTGTGGCGGCTCATTGATTCGGCCCGAATGGGTCCTGACTGCCGCCCACTGCGTAACGGGCTTTGATGCCTCCGAATTTTATGTAGTCGGCGGCACAACCACGCTAAACGGAACGGATGGCGTAGGACGCACTGTCACCTTCACCAGCGTGGCGCCCCTCTACACCAAAAAAGAGTTGAATATGGATGCCGCACTGTTGAAGCTGAACGAGACGTTGACGGGCACGAATATTAAAACCATTGCATTGGGTCGGCGTATGCCACGACCGGGCACAAGGGTGAGAATCGGTGGATGGGGCGCCACCAGAGAGGGCGGCACTTCGGTCACAGAACTAAGATCGGTTCAGCTGATAGTGGTTAATCAGAGGGATTGCCGAAGGGCCTATCAAGGAGCGATGACCATAACTAACAGAATGTTCTGTGCACAGGCCAGGGGCAGAGATTCCTGCAGCGGCGACTCGGGCGGCGGTGCCGTGCAAAACAATAGACTGATGGGCATTGTGTCCTTCGGCACGGGCTGTGCCAGACCTAAATATCCCGGTGTCTATACGCGAGTGGGCAACTTGCGTAGATGGATTAACAGAATCATTTCAAGCAATTAAATTGAACGAGGAAATATATGTGTACATAAAGACGGTGTTCAATCTATAAGCCAAATCGATGTGTTAGTAGTATTACATAGTAGTATTTCCGTTATTAAGAGTAATACAGTGTGTGTAAAGAGAGACAAAATCAAGAGCATAACACGTTGTTAGCTCTTCGAATAGCGAACGCTCAAAACTCTTAAGTAATCAACTCTACAGCTAATAATATTATTTAAAGTCAACAATGAGCAGCCGCCCTATGGGCGGAAACAATTGTGCAAATGTTGATATATGTTTCAGATTTCAGATTCCAGATTTGTTGATAGCTCAGCCCAAAAAGTATAAAAGCACTTGGCCCACTGCCTAAAATGTAGTTTGTTAGTTCCTCCTTATATAGAACAATGCTTGGATTACAGCTTTTGCCACTGCTCTTGGCCAGTGTTTGGTCGCTCGAAGCAAATCAGACATCATCTTGGTCGCTCGAAGCAAATCAGACATCATCAGACATTGAACCTCGCATCATTGGCGGCTACGTCTCAGATATAAAGGATCTGAAGTATCTGGTGCAAGTGTCGTCGACTAAAGAGATTTGTGGTGGTTCGCTGATCACCACACGATGGGTCATCAGTGCTGCACATTGTGTGGACCGAGTGCGCATAGCTGATTTGCGAGTCTATGGCGGCACTTCGGAGCAGGGTCCTCAGAACGCCATTCAGCGCTTGATCGATCTGATCGTGATACATCCGAGTTTTAACAGCAAGACAATGAATATGGACGTGGCCGCTTTGTATCTCAACGAGGACATGAAAGGTGGACTAGTGGACACGATTGCATTGGCTACTCGGCCAGCGCCACCAGGCCGCCTGGTCAAAGTCTCCGGCTGGGGTGCGGTGAATCCCAAATCCTCAGAAACGGCACGCCGTGTACATAGTGTCGTCCTGCCCGTCTGGTCGTATGCAGCCTGCCGAGCGGCCTATCGTGGCAAGCAATTCATCAGCCGATACATGATCTGCGCAGCGAAGCCTTACAAAAGGGACTCCTGTGACGGTGACTCCGGTGGCCCGATGGTCTATCAAGGCGAGCTGGTTGGCATTGTCTCCTTTGGTTTCGAATGTGCGAGCGGCTTGCCTGGCGTCTACACCAACGTGCCAATGATAAGAAGATGGTTTATGGACATCATGGCAGAGTATTCCTAACTTGTAGCTGGTTGCATTCTAGACATAATAAATTAGTTAAAGATTACGCTTATCACAAGTCAATTAGCTGGGGAACGTTTGTCTGTTGGCTATATAAGCGCTCATTTCGTGCGCGCTTTAGGAAAATGTGGTTCAAGCTCGTAACCTGGCTAACGTTGCTCCAGCTGCTAGTTGGCGCGCCTAGCCGGCAGAACAAAATCTTTGGTGGACAAACGGAGGCGATTCGGAATTATCCATTTATGGTGAATTTGCGACGAGGTCCGCATTTTAGATGTGGCGGCGCTCTCATTGCGCCCAGTTGTGTGGTCACAGCCGCTCATTGTCTGGAGGGTCATCCGCATTATGTCGAGGACTTGTATGTGCATGCCCAGCAAGACTGCCTAAATGATTCAAGTCCAGCAGCGCATGTACGTCAAGCCTGGTTCGCTTGTGTAGCTCCACAATACAATGGATATATATTGGATGCAGATCTGGCAATCATCAAGCTGCGTCAGCCGTTTGACACAACGGGCAATGTAAGCACCGTGCCCATTGACTTCAACGATCTGCCGGAGGGTGCAGATCTAAGGATTCTTGGCTGGGGCATGACCGGTAGTGGGAGTCAGAACTGGGGGCAATGCCTGCAAACAGCCAATGTCAGCCTGGTGCGGCGAGATCACTGCCAGCGACAGATGAGCTCTTATGGTCCAATAACGAATAATATGTTTTGTGCTCTGGGTCCGAATGCCACCGATGCCTGCCAAGGCGATTCCGGAAGTCCCATTCTGTATGCTGGTCGCCCTGTCGGTGTAGTATCCTGGGGTAATCACTGCGGCAGCGGGCTACCTGGCGTCTACACACGCTTTGGCAGCTCAACATTGTCGTGGTTCCTTAAAAGGTTCATGGATACACACTGCTAGTATAAGATCTGAACTATACAAATAATTTACATTAAAAACTAATATTACTTTAGCTTTGAGTTGCACTTCAATTAATTTATAATCAATTATAATATAACCTATTTTGAGATTGAAATCGTAATTATCTTATTGTAAAGATATTCTGGCGTTTCTACAACTGTCAAAAGTTTTAGGAGTTAGCTTTAAGCAAACAGCCTTAAAAAAAAAAAAAATTAAAAAAAAAAAAAAACAGAATTTTAAATGTGCACGACAATTGTCCATTTAGTGTGTGATTTTGGAATATGTGGCTAAAACTCATAACATGGCTAACGTTGCTGCAGCTATTAGCTGGCGCACTTAGCCAGGAGTTCAAAATCTTTGGTGGAAAAACGGAGTCAGTTCGGAACTATCCATTTTTGGTGAATTTGCGACAAGGTTCGAAATTTGCATGTGGCGGAGCTCTTATTGCGCCCAGCTGTGTGGTCACAGCCGCACATTGTCTCGGAGACCGTGGAGAAAATGTCAATGAGTTATATGTAAATGCCCAGCAAGACTGCCTAAATGGGTCAATTCCAGATGCGTACGTACGTCAGGCCTGGTATGCTTGTGTCGCTCCACAATACAAACCAAGCGAATTCGATGCGGATCTGGCAGTCATCAAGCTGCGTCAGCCATTTTACACGTCCGATATTATAAACACCATTGCCGTTGATTTCAACGAGCCGCCGGAAGGTGCAAGTATGAGAATTGTTGGCTGGGGCATGACCAGCGATGTGGGTCAGGATTTGGGGCAATGCTTGCAATCGGCCGATGTCAGCGTGGTGCCGCGAGATCAATGCAATCGCCAGATGAGCTTTATATCTCCAATAACGAATAATATGTTCTGTGCCTTGGGTCCAAATAAGATTGATTCCTGCAGTGGCGACTCTGGAGGTCCCATTCTTTATAAAGGTCGTCCTGTGGGTGTAGTATCCTGGGGTAATCACTGCGGCAGCGGGCTACCTGGCGTCTACACACGCTTTAGCAGCTCAGCAATGATGTGGTTCCTTCAAAACTTCATAGAGACACACTGCTTGGACAAGATCTGAACCTTTTAAGTATTTTACATTAAAAACTATTATCTCTCTAGCTTTGAGTTGGCCTTTGAATTGATTTAGGCAAGAACTTCTATTGCTATTGCATTCTGTAATTATCTTATTGTACAGAGCGCACAATAAGTTGGCATTGTCCAAGTGGAATCCATTGAAAAAGCTCGACGCATATCAATTCATATTGTTACGGAGCACTCAATAGAATAAAATGAAGTAGTGCACTCGGCACACACTGTTCAGTTGATGTCTGAGTCTGGACACGCCATGTGTTGGCTAGAGTTATGTTGGTTGTTCTGGTTGCTGCACGCTGCCCATGGACAAAGGATTATTGGTGGCCAGGAGACAAGCATCAGCCAGGTGCCATATTTGGTGTATATGCGCCAGGGCGGCAGTTTTATCTGTGGTGGCTCCCTGCTCACGCCTAGCTTTGTGCTAAGTGCTGCACATTGTGTCTATGGCGCCAGGGAGCAGGATTACACTGTACATGCGGGTGCCAGTCGACTGGCGCAAAAGGCGCCCGTGATCCGTAATGTTGTCCGTTTTCACATTGCCCCAACCTACTCCCCCAGCAACTTCGATATGGATGTGGCTATGCTGCAGCTAGAGCTGCCTGTGCCGCTCACAGCTGGTCAAGTGGCCACAATTACACCCTGCCAATCGGCAGCGGCCGCTAATAGATACGTCCGGATTAGCGGCTGGGGTGTGGAGTATGAGAGCAGTCGCCAGCCAGCAGCCCAGGTTCGCACAGCTGTCATCCGTGTACTTTCCCATGTGGAGTGCCAACAGGCTTACGCTGGCCAGGCACAGCTCACTGATTCCATGATTTGTGCCGCTGTGCGTGGCATAAAGGACTCCTGTTCCGGCGACTCGGGTGGTCCATTGGTCTATCGCGGCGAGGTCTGCGGCATTGTTTCCTGGGGATTCGGTTGTGGGCACGCTGCCTATCCGGGCGTCTACACCAATGTGGCCAGCACGCGTGTAAAAACTTTTATAGATCAAACACTGAGAAAGCTTTAGCCAATTCCGATAACATTTTACAGGTTAGAGAATTCTTTACCAAATTGCTCGAACTGCTCTTATTATGCTTATTGAAAATTGATCAACTATTGTAGTTAATAACTATTCTGCACATGATGATTATAATAACTGTTCATGAGTGAAAATAATAACACATTATAAAATTAGCTAGTAATTGGTAAGTTTTCTGCACTCAAAATAAGAAATATCTATAATTCAGTAAAGTTAACTAATTTACAGAGTGCAATGAAATATATAATTATAACAAGGTCAAAAGCCATTGGAACGATAAAACATATGTACATACATTAAAAAATACATATATGAAACCCATTTAGATACGTTTATCTGACTAGATATTTAATGGCTTTGTTACACTTTCGATGGGCCGCGCATGATAGAACAACAAAATGGTTTATTAAAAATAATTATTATTTGAACAATAAAACAATGTTACAATTATATTTCCTCAAAAAGCCGCCCGTATATAAAATGGCATGCAAACAAACGCGCGAGCCGACTCGGATCTGGAAACAGTTAGTGCTCAGCTCTTACTCTTTCGACTCTATTTGAACAAGTGATCTGCTGGCAAATATTTACGCTATGAGCGTAGACGTCTGTTCTTGCTGAGAAACCAATGCGACTGCTGCTGCTGCGGCTGCCACTGCCAGTGCCACTGCTGTTCCTGCTCCTGCTCATGTTCCTGCTTCGGATAGCCACGGGCAAAGCCGCCAATGATGTTGGCGCTCGCATTGTGGGCGGCATCCCGGTGGATATAAGGAGTGTGCCCTACCTGATCAATCTGCGCATTTCCGGCAATTTCATTTGTGGCGGCGCTTTAGTTACGCCCACTCATGTGGTGACGGCAGCACACTGTGTAAAAGGCGTGTCTGCGAGCAGGCTACAAGTGGTGGGCGGTGCGACACTGTTGACGGATGCAACAGGTGTGCGAAGGAGCGTGGCCAAAGTGTTTACACCCAAAGCCTTCAATACACGCACCCTGCACTCGGATGTGGCTGTGCTAAAGCTAAAATCACCGCTGGAAGGCAACAACATTGCGACCATTCCATTATGCAACTCCAGCTGGCAACCAGGTGAACTGATTAAGGTCTCCGGCTGGGGTAAAACGAGTGAGGGCAGTAAACGAGTCTCCCAACACGTCCGCAGCGTGGACGTGCCACTAGTCTCACGGAAGAGCTGCATAAGCCAATACAAAATGCGAGGCACCATCAGCTCAACCATGTTCTGCGCCTCACTGCCGGGCGTTAAGGATGCCTGTGAAGGCGACTCTGGTGGCCCGGCAGTGTATCAGAATCAACTGTGTGGCATTGTCTCTTGGGGCATGGGCTGTGGCAGACGCAACTATCCTGGCGTTTATACAAGTGTCAAAAGTGTTAGGAGTTTTATCGACAAGGCTTTAAGCAAATAGGCTAACCAAAAACATTAAACTAAACAATAAATGTGAATGATCAAACGAATCATCAGCAATGCCCATCTATATCGACTGAACAAAAGCAGAAACATAGCAGACAATTACGTAATAATTTAGTTCGTGTTCCACTTACCGCTATTGCGCAGCTCCTGTGGAACGCTAATGTGCACGCCCACATTTTGTAGATAAACATTATAGGGATTACTAATGGTAGTCACCACTGGATAGTATTCATTGACCAGCATTGTTGTCGTGACCGGAGCATCGCTCACTACATGGCCAAGGTTTGTTTGAGTGCTCAAATGGAAGCTGCAATGGAAGTTCAACGGAGCGTTAAATGAAGGCTGCATATAAATGCTTATGGCTTCCGCTTTTTGTGACCTACGTGGGCGCAATATAGCAAATGGTGTTTATCGTCATATTATCATCCAGATCGCGACTGCGCGTGTGATGCCGGAATGGTTTGCGTGCATAGTTTGCGCTGCACGTGAGCAATGCGCCAATTTGTTCGGTGCCCATAAGCGCTTCCAGCCGCGCGATGCGCAGTTGTGTATTCTCATTAAACTGATGAGCCTCCGTGCTGCAAATGAGCTGATAATAATAGCCAGGCTCTAATCGCATATTCTTCTCAAATGTCTTTGGCTCTATGTGCTCCGGTTCGAGAGGCTGCTGTTGATGGGTACGCAACTGCAGCAGACTGGGAAAGCATAAATACTTTAGGGCCTCCAGTTTGTAGCTTATTTGAGGATTACTGGCATCGACAAGCAGAACTTGAAAGCTGCGTATGCGCAACGGCACGTCGGTAAGAACGCTGTGGAAAAAACGAGCAATACAATAAGCACATTCTAATGAATATATAATCTTTCTAACTAACCGCACTATTAGATTTATCTGCAGCACATCGCTATTGTTTAGTTGAACCTGTTCAAATGTAGCACAGAGCTCCAGCACACCACTGACTTTATCTAAATCAATTTGAATCGGTGATTTTACGCTTGCCAACGCGTTACTCCACAGCGCTTGAACTTCAGGCGTCATTTGAGTTTGTGGTATTGGAGGCACACTTTGAAACACTTGCCAAAGATTCTCCAGCAGCAGCACACGCTCTTTCTGCTCACCATGATGGCTCAAAGAGAGTGCCTCAATGCTGCAAGAAATGTAATCGGCCACAGAGGCGGAGAGCAACGCACAGCGTAGAGTCTTCAGCAGCACATCACTAAAAATGGTCATCCATTTCTCTTGACGGTAGTCGGGCAACATAAGAGAGTACAGACTGAAAGGGACAATAGTATCATGAATTAAACTTAACATTAGGCAGTCACTTACGTTAATGCCTTGGCATGATCGCCACTGCGAAGATACTCCTCGGCCATGTCAATGGCCAGCTTCTTGCGGAATCTCAAGCATTTGTAGATCTTAAACTGTGCCATTGCCTGACTGAGAAGCGCTATGATTGCCGATGAATGATTAAAGTTGCGCTCCTGTTCCACGAGTTGGATATTTGCCTGCTGCTCAGCTACAGGATCACCCGTCTTAACTGCACGTGTACCAAAGAACTCGGTGTACAAGCTCTGATTTGGCGTCGCATTCGTTGTGCTTGATCCTAAGAGCGTGGCACTGGCCTGTTGAGCGGCTTCACGTCGCTTTATCACATATTCGGCGGCCTTCTGGTAATAAATGCCTGGATGCTGCGTCTGCAACGCAGGCAAACCGTTCTTGATTGCTTCACAGAAGAGTTCCGCGAAGACTGAGTGTCTGAAAAACGATTTGGATAAAAAATTGTCTTCATACTTAAGGTAAATCATATATTCCCAGCTTACTGCGTGCTTAGCCAGGCGTAATGCTCAAAGGCTAAATCCTTGAAACCCAAACAATTTTTATATTTATCAACGTGAATAATGAACTGATTAATGGAATCCCTTGGAGTTTTTAACTTAAACATAAGCCGGCACATTTTATAATTGAGAAAGCCAGCAATTGTTTTGATCTCCATGCAATTAGTATCTGTGATCCGTATTTCATCTAAGTTACCGTAGGCCTGAAAATAGTGTCTATAGCCACAGTAATCGTTATTGATTGGATTTTCGTATTGAAGCATTTTTCACTTACTTTTGTGCCGTGCTAAAGTCCTGACGCATCTCAGCCACAAAGCCTAGCTTAAATTGATGGCGTATCTTGAGTGTTGTATGGGCAGCGGAAAGCTGATCGCGATGAGTACGTATACGTTTAGACATGAGTGCATAGTACGACTGAGCCATATCCAAGAACGCGGACTCCAGACGCATCGTGTATCCCATTAGATGCTCCGTGTGGGGCAAAATGAATAGCATTTTGCTCGTAATTCCGCACGCGGTAGTTAGACTAGCGGCACGCTCAGCTGCCAGCATATCCTCGCCTGCCGGCAGTGGCGCTGATTTCTGGAGCAACACCAGGCACAGTCGTGTATTACGTTCTTGCAAAGCATTCTTAAGGCCCTGAACAATAGCTGCACACTGCACTTGTTTCTCTGTCCATTGGCTGTCGTTCCATTCGATATCTTGGAAGAGCACCACCACGGATGGCAATACGTGCAAATGCTTCAACATCCAGTTACGCTTAAGTATTCCTTTCGGATGATACCACTCGTATGAGGCGCGCTTTGGCTTAGCAACCGGAAACTCATAGTTGGGAGGTAGTAGTTTATATTGCACGGCAGCCCGATCCCTGTCCCTATCCGCTGGCTTCCGTTGAAGGGTGCCGCTGAATGCATCCCAAATTGATTTGTGAACGCTTTGGTTCACGATATCCAATCCACAAAAGCCTATCAGCGGTTGTGGTATTACGAGCAGCTCTGAAGGCAGAGTTGTGCCATCAATCGTCATAGTTTTGTATGTGTAATAGATATAATTTGCTTCCCCGCACACTGCTGGCAAACTCTGTTTCAAGGCCTATCGTTGGTTGTTAACTGAGAGTGAATTTTGCGTATTGAATGCCTTTGCCGCATTAGGCACACGCAATACAACAGTCTTAGTGTACGATAGCGCTGTTCTGGCCAACAATTCCAGCAAATTTTACGGTATTAAATGTAAATAAACGCCGCCCCAGAAAATGCAGTTTTCAATCAGCTGTAGTTGTACGTAAGCTTGTAATCGATATCGAGCATCGATAATTACTACCATATGCATCCCTGAGCCTAGCTGTCAGACCCGCACGAACTGTCAGTGAGCTGTCTTCGGCTTTGTTATACGTGTCGCACTACGTACTTTCACATTCGTTTTGTTATTTTCGCTCTAACCACAGGTAATGCTCGCGTGTGTTTAGTAAATTAATAGTAATCAGATCTAAACAGTATTTTTTTTAATTTCAAAATTTTAGTGTTAAAACGCTACAAAAACCTATAAAATGGCCCCACCACAGAGAATGCGCGTCGCCAACGAAAAGGCCAGCAAATATGTGACAATGCGTGGCAATGTACCCAAATCCTCGGTACGTATTAAAGTTTTGAACTAAATTCGCATGTTTTTTGATGAAAATTGCAGCTGTAGTTTTAATCACTGCCACAACTGCAAAAGAACGGCAAGAGATAATGACACCTGCATGCATATAAAAACAAATCCAATAGGAAAAAGTGCCACGCCGTCATTGATTTTATTGTTGTTGCAGTGCTGATATGTTTGTTTGTATGCGTGCGTGAGAGTTGAATCGAGTTATCGCTGTTTCTAGATTTTCGTAGCTGTTGCTCCAGCGATCTTCGGATTATTGTTTGTTACTAATCTACTTCTCGTTATTTTTTTTTTTTCTTTCAGAAAACGAAAGAGGGACAATACCCGGTTGGGCCCTGGCTTTTGGCATTATTTATCTTTGTCGTGTGCGGATCAGCGATTTTCCAAATCATTCAGTCCATTCGAGCTGCGTAAACCTGTACAGATAGAAATACAAAATTTTATAATATTATGCTAAGCTCATAACACAAACAAACAAACACAAACACAACCACTCTGACGTCTTCTCAAAATCTTTCGTAGCAAAACCTTCCCGACATTATGTGCAACGTCTGTAGAGATAAAGCTCAAAGGACAACCAGACTTTTTAGTTAACTGAATTTGTAATGAAAATTTTATATCTATGTGCATGCAAAATTTAAGTTCATATTTTGTATACTTTATATACATATAATTAAGCGTTAAACCCGAACTGTCTGTAAAAGCATTCCTGCACACCTATAAATTACTTATCTATACATATGCTGATTGTGCTAAAGTGGAATGTACAAGCTGCGAAAACGTTATTTTAAAATGCTTTTGCAGCTATTTAAATAGTTCAAGTTTAAATGTTGTTTTCGTCAACGAGGACGATTAGAAGAAAATAACTACGAGTAAATTCAATTATGAATATATGATAATTTTTTACCTAAAACAATATAAACTTGTGTTTTTACTTTACTGTTACGGTAAAACAAACAAAACACTGCTATCTATGAAAGCTGAAGATTTGAGCAGCCCTGGTAGATTTCTCTCGAATGGCCCCGAAACGCTACGATGGAACGAATGGCATTACATATGTCAAACATTTTAAGAATAAGTAAAATTGATAATAAAATAAAACATGAAAATTTAAAGAAGCAACTGAATTTTTTATGTGAGCGATTCAGTTATTTTTGATTTGATTACAGATAAATAAATTAGCCAACAGCGTCATGCAGTAGTAGCGTGTGTGGGCCTCATAGCAATTAAACAGTTGCTCACTTTGGCCGCAAATGTTATCCGTAAACAAAAACATAAAATCTATTTAATATGAATCTATAAATCCATGTATAAAGTTAAACAGACCTAATGCGACGCATTTATACAGCGGCCTACGTACACATCATGTCGAAAAACAAGGGAAAAGGTAAAGCAACGAGCAAAGCCGGCGAGGCAACCACACCGCCAGTCTCCAATACGCCGGTCACACTAGACAAGAGTGGCAACATTGCTATCAAAATTCTGGCCAAGCCTGGCGCCAAACAGAACGGCATCACAGACATTGGACTGGAAGGCGTTGGTGTACAAATTGCAGCACCACCCACTGAGGGAGAAGCAAACGCCGAACTGGTGAAATTTCTGTCCAAAGCGTTGGGACTTCGCAAGAGCGATGTATCACTAGACAAAGGCTCCCGTTCCCGCAATAAAATAATACTCATTAGCAAAGGCGTTACCACCGTGGAGGCTATAGAGCAATCATTGCGAAAAGAATGTGAATCATAACCATAAATTAACCCGAAAATGTTTAAATAAATGATCAGCGAAATATTTATTGTTCTTTATGCTTTATTTATCGATGCGATCATCCAATCTTATTACATTATCCATTTAATAGCTAACGCATATGTAGTCTTTGTGTTTTTTCTTCATTAGATAAATTACTTGGATTCTAAATTAGGAATTTCTTAACGACAACTGCTCTTACATAGTGAATGTGTAAATCCTATTACATATTTCTTGATTTTTTGTGAGTGAGAATGAGTAAGCGTATTACAGTCGCATACAACGCGACACAACGTAAATACAAATTACTAATGTCAACGAAACATTAAATAACTCTGCTGTCAAGTCTAACATAAGAGGTTCCGACAATGGAAATGAAATGTTGTTTAACTTAAGTAATTTTGTATCAAATGGTGTGAATAAATGGTTCTGGTGGGGGTGGATGAGTAGTTTTTGGTTGAACGGTTGTTTAATCGACCTCCTCCATGTGGGATGCATCCTCGGTGTCCTCAACCAGAGATGGGGCATCACCAGCGCTTTGGGCATCCTCTGTGGTCATGGGTTCATCCTCGTCGATGCCAAGACCCAGCTTGATCATGCGATAGATGCGGCTGGCATGCACCTGTGGGCTGTCCAGCGAGAATCCAGATGACAATAGTGATGTCTCGAACAGCAGAATGACCAGATCCTTGACGGCCTTGTCATTCTTATCGGCCTCGGCTTTCTGACGCAAGGTCTCCACAATGGGATGGTCGGGATTGATTTCCAAGTGTTTCTTGCCGGCCATGTAGCCCATGGTCGAGGTATCACGCAGTGCCTGAGCCTTCATGATGCGCTCCATGTTGGCGGACCAACCGAACTGCGAAGTGACAATGCAGCAAGGTGAATCGACCAGACGGTTGGACACGACAACCTTCTCCACTTTGTTGTCCAAGATTGATTTCATCAACTTGCACAAGCTCTCGAATTTGGCCTTATCCTCTTCGCGCTTCTTCTTCTCAGCCTCATCTTCGGGCAACTCCAGACCCTCCTTGGTAACAGACACAAGCTGCTTGCCCTTGTATTCCTTCAGGTGCTGGATGACGTATTCATCAATGGGTTCGGTCATGTAAACCACTTCGAAGCCACGAGCCTTGACACGCTCAACAAAGGCCGAGTTGCTGACCTGATCCTTGGACTCGCCAGTGATGAAGTAGATGTGCTTCTGGTTCTCCTTCATCCTCGACACGTAGTCGGCCAATGAACAGAAATCATCACCAGAGGCGGAAGTATGGAAGCGCAAGAAATCGGCCAACTTAGCGCGGTTGTTGCTGTCCTCATGGACGCCCAACTTCAAGTTCTTGCTGAACTGGTCGTAGAACTTCTTGTAGTTCTCCTTGTCCTCGGTAAGCTCTTCAATCAGCTCCATGGTCTTCTTGACTAGATTCTTACGGATAACCTTAAGCACCTTGTTTTGCTGCAACATCTCACGGGAAATATTGAGTGGCAAATCCTCGGAGTCAACCACACCCTTGATGAAGTTCAAGTACTCGGGAATCAGATCTTCACAGTTGTCCATGATGAATACACGGCGCACGTAGAGCTTAATGTTGTTGCGCTTCTTCTGGTTCTCGAACAGATCGAATGGTGTGCGACGTGGAATGAAGAGCAGAGCACGGAACTCCAACTGACCCTCCACAGAGAAGTGCTTAACAGCCAAATGATCCTCCCAATCGTTGGTCAACGACTTGTAGAACTCGCCGTATTCCTCCTGGGAGATATCGTCGGGATTGCGTGTCCAGATGGGCTTCGTTTTGTTCAGCTCCTCGTCTTCGGTGTACTTCTCCTTGATGGTCTTCTTCTTCTTACCATCCTTCTCTTTCTTGTCGGCATCTTCATCCTCGCCAACATCCTCAATCTTGGGCTCATCGGTATCCATTTCCTTCTTCTCATCACCCTCCTTCTCGTCATCAGCCTCATCATCGCTGACCTCTTTCTCACGCTCCTTCTCTACCAGCAATTTGATGGGGTAGCCAATGAACTGGGAGTGCTTGTTGACAATCTCCTTGATCTTGGCTTCCTCAAGGTAGTCGGTCTGATCCTCCTTGATGTACAGCACAATCTTGGTACCACGACCCAGTGGTTCGGAGTTATCAGCGCGAACGGTGAAGGAGCCACCGGCAGAAGACTCCCAGATGTACTGTTCATCATCATTGTTCTTCGAGGTCACTGTCACCTTATCAGCCACCAGATATGCCGAATAGAAGCCAACACCAAACTGGCCAATCATGGAAATGTCGGCACCAGCCTGCAATGCCTCCATGAACGCCTTAGTGCCCGACTTGGCAATTGTGCCCAAGTTGTTGACCAAATCGGACTTAGTCATACCAATACCGGTATCAATGATTGTCAGTGTACCAGCTGTCTTGTTTGGTATGAGCTTGATGTATAGCTCCTTGCCGGAGTCAAGTTTGCTGGGATCCGTCAGCGATTCATAGCGGATCTTGTCGAGTGCATCAGACGCATTGGAAATCAATTCACGCAAGAAGATTTCTTTGTTCGAGTAGAATGTGTTAATGATCAACGACATAAGCTGAGCAATCTCAGCCTGGAATGCAAAAGTCTCCGCTTCTTCAGGCATCTGCAATAGAAAAGAATTTAATTTAAAATATGTTACCTCGACAAATAAAAAAAATTTTTTTTACTTTTCATCATTTTATTCACTTATTCTACCCCCAAGAGAGCGTCGCACATGCTTGCTCCCTCACTCTGCTGATGAAAAGCGTGTTCATAGGCTATGTACACCATCTTGTGTGTGTGTGTGTGTGTATATGTGTGCATGTACATACACATTAGTAAATTCGAGAAGCGTCGTCTTGCCACACATAAAATTGCCGAAATGTTCTAGAAAAACTCCCTTAAATATAACAATTCATATATATATAGATATATGTATGTACGTATATATTGCATTCATACATATTATGTAGACGCATTACCTCCTTTTTCACAAAGACGCTTTCTAGAATAATTCTGGGCTATACAGATACAAATACACAATTCGAGAATAAAAGAAAAATTCGCAAGCACGTGCGATTACAATAAACGTTTGCATTTCTTATCTGCATCTAATTGATCTTGTTCTACATGGATTTTTACATATTAATATATGACATTCTCTATTATACTGTGCAGTTTTCCAGAAATTTCGGCAATTTTACTATGCCGGCATATTTTGCGATAGTGACTCAACCTAAAAGCGTGCTCATAAAATTTGATTGCTTTTCTAGTAGCACATTGAACTTTGCTGCTAATAAACATTTCTTCAATTATAAATGAAAATGTAGTTAGTTTGTCCTAAATTCTAGACTCTTCTGCAACCAATACAACAGTAATTGTGTCAAGAGCTTTTCCGTTGCACATACACACATACTTTTGCTTAAATTTACTGACCGAAATGCAGTTGGTTTTGTCACAGCTTCCCAATTTTATACACAATAGAAATGTATTCTATTTCAAACATGCTTACCTTGTATTAATTTTTTTTTTTCACTGAACTAACTTTAAATACGATATACTTTTCACTTTTCTTGGCGCAGAAAATAAAATTTTCTTTTTGTTTTGCTTTGCCTCAAGGCAGACTCTTTTATGCTCACCGCACGAATTTTGTTTCAATACTGACAAGCCGGCGTCTGCTTGCTACTGCTTTTATAGGGGTTGAACAAAATTCTACGAAGCTTCTAGATTTTTCGAGAAACATCTAGTCGTCAGGGCTACCTCTTCCGGTTTTCAACGCAGTGTTGCATTGAACCAACTAACAGTGATGTGAGTCGATGTTTCTGTAATGTTCTAGAAACTATGTTCAAATAAAATTATATTCCATTAATATTGAACCATGTGAATATCATTTTATTGCTATTTTTGACATCACTAATGAGAATTTAGCTAAATAATTTTATATGGGGTGATTTAAATACTAATTCGAAAGTTAATAATAATTTTTCTAGCATAAATAAATCACCTAATGTTTTTCAGTATTTTTATAATATTAATAAAATTTCGCCTTTTTAGTATATTTTTTGGTCTGCCGTAATTTTGGGTGACCAAACTTGGTAAAAACAAAAAGTGTGACCAGATTGTGTTAGCCCATAATTTAGTACCAAACTAGATAGCATTTTGTTTATGTTGTGATTAAAATAATAAGAGAAAATTAGATAATTTTATGATAAAATGGGCGGTACTCGATGCGTATTTCGTGACTGCCAAGTCTCAACGCAACGCAATCCCAAAATGCATTTTTTCAAACTGCCAGTTCGTGATCCAGTTCGCTTGGAAACTTGGCTTAAGAATTGCGGCAACGCTGACATTTTAAATGTTGCAAGGGAGAAACTATCTAATCGCGCTGTTTGCGCGCGTCACTTTCGCTACGAATGTTTTATGAACTATAAATTAGATCGACTAATACCAAATCAGACGCCCACTTTGGTACGCGTCAGTAAGGATCTGGCCTGGGACATGGAACACCTCGACGAGAATGGTGAGGCAACACTGGTGAAGCTTTCCATGCCCACATTGGAGCATTTGATACCTCCCGAAAATTTCGAATGTCCACTTGGTTTCACCGATGACGCTCGATTTGGACGGAAATACATAGCGAAAAGACGAACGCCGCCCAAGCCCCTTATCCTTGAGTCAAATAAAAGACAAAAACTTGTGCATGAGCAAGCGAATAAAACTGAAACATCTATAATCGTCGACCCTGGTAAACTAGAACAGCCGCTGAGTGGAAAAGACACACACATGGGGCCTTCAAATGTAACAGATGAGATGCATGAAGACTATCAGCTTAAATATGAGCATTTGAGAACAGATTTTGAGCAACTCTCTAAAGAGAATGCCGATTTAAAGCAAACAATCGAGAGACTAGAAGCTCAAGCTGAAGTATTAAAAAGCTCCTCCTCTACCTCTGTTACACCACAATTGACCAAGTCGCAGCTGTATAACGGCATTAAAAAGTATCTGGGTACAACAATGGCTGCACTCCTGCGCATGGAAATGTTCGGCGGCGCAGATCGTCAATGGAAAGAGGATGAGCGGGACTTTTCCAAGGAGCTGTTACAGTTGGGCGAGCATGTCTATACACACTGCTGTGATGAATGGCGATTTCGGTTGCCGTCATTGCGTATGGCACGCAGTTGGCTGGAAGATAAACATACCGAAGAAAACGAAAGAGAAGAGCTATAAAAGCTAGATTATCATATTTTTATTTGACTAAATTAGCAGCCGCAAATGTGCCTTTCGCTTCTTATATTGGCAACTATCTTAATAAGATATATAAAAAACTTACTCTTATACGACAGTCTTACTTAGTTTTGGCATCAATGCCAAGCATTCAAATTGTGACAAAGGTTCTGAAGAAATTGAATCTATGTACCTTCCGCAATCTTTATGACTTTTTTAATCTGTGCACAAGGTCTTCACGTAAATCATAATTGCTCGTATTTTAAAAATGCGATTCGGAATTAAGGCATGTCAAAGCAATTTCGGTCTCTTTACTGAACAGACATACCAAACGAAAGCCTCAAGATGAAGTCATATTTACAAAATGTACTCGTAAGTAGGAACATGTGATTATTATTTAATTTTAACATATAATTTGTTACAGATATTAATGTTCTTTGCAACATTTCCAACGTTGTATTGTCAAACGTGCTCGGATTGTTCATTGACCGATGGAGTTTATGCATGTGTGGATGAGTTTTCTTATGGCATCTGTTTCAATCTTGGAGCCGTTGATACTAACACAGTTCGATCATGTGGAGATGGCTATTACTGCAATGTTGATGGCTCATTTTGTTCTCCCCGGGAATCCTCTACGGTTAGTTTAGCTATCATCTTCGGTTTTTAACATTTTGACATTTTAACATTTTTGTTGCAGCCATCATGTGTAACTTCTTCTTCAACTCCAGCTGTGAGTACCTGTTCAGATTGTTCGCTGACTGATGGTGTCTATGCCTGCATGGATGAATTTAGCTATGGAGTCTGTTACAATCTCGGCTTTGTCGATCCAAACGCCATTCGATCATGTGATGATGGCTTTTACTGCAATGTAGATGGCACATTTTGTTCACCCCGCGATACATCTTCCGTAAATTTGATTGAATTTTGTTGTGTTTACATATTTTCATTTGTTGTCTATTATTACAGCCATCATGTGTATCGTCAGCAACTCCAAAACCTACTACAGAATTGACAACAGGTAAACCTACGGAATCGACTACAGTTTTACCACCTGTTTCTTCGACCTCACAGTCTCCAGTGTCTTCAACAGAATCTACAACAGTGTCGCCCCCCGATTCTTCGACTGCGCAGTCTCCAGAATCTTCTACAGTATCGACAACTATTTCGCCCCCTGAATCCTCGACCACGCAGTCTCCAGAAACTTCAACTACAGTTTCACCCCCTGAGTCTTCCACTGCGCAGTCTCCAGATCCTTCAACGACAGTTTCACCTCCAGATTCTTCGACTGCGCTGTCTCCAGAACCTTCAACCACAGTTTTACATCCAGATTCTTCGACTGCGCAGTCTCCAGAAACTTCGAGCACAGTTTCTCCCCCTGAGTCCTCGACCGCGCAGTCTCCAGAACCTTCAACCACAGAACCTCGAGATTCTTCGACTGCGCAGTCTCCAGAACCTTCAACTACAGTTTCACCCCCTGAGTCTTCCACTGCGCAGTCTCCAGAACCTTCTACCACAGTTTCACCAACTGAGGCTTCCACTGCGCAGTCTCCAGAACCTTCAACCACAGTTTCACCTCCGGATTCTTCCACTGCACAGTCTCCAGAACCTTCAACTACAGTTTCTCCCCCTGAATCCTCGACCGCGCAGT